GTAATATAGTATTTATTTATGATTTAAATTCTAAAAAAGAAGAGTTTTATACTCTAAATAAAACCTAAATACAATGATCTTTTTTCTCTCAAACACAGGCTGATTATCTGCACTTCACAGTGACCTGGACGGTTCTTTCTAACCTCATTCAGAGGATGGGACAGATGGAGAGGAGTTTGACTGAGTGCAGGTGTATATTTTTCTCTGCAGGGTGTGTGTGTGTGTGTGTGTGTGTGTGTGTGTGGGCAGGTGTATCACATATGTGTTTTTCTCTCACCTTCTACCATCTCTGTGTGTCTGTGTCACTGACTGACCAACCAAATCAGCAATTACTTGCCCTCCCGACCATTGCTCAATAGACCTGCCCAAGCACCAAATAAAGGCTGCACACCTGCACGCTCACACATACACACAGGTGGAAAACGACAGACGGACACACAAACACACCTGTGAGATGTAAACACGCAGATTGGCAGCTTTCCTGCCAGCAGCTCAGGACTATCTGTGGCTGCTGCAGAAAGGCAGAGCCTGTGAATGTTAAGTGCCTCCCTTAGGGAGGAAATAAGGCCGGCTGATAAGTTAGTCAGCTGCAAATCCAACAAGTCCACATGAAGGCAGAGAGGACAGCAGTGACACGACACACACCACCTCTTACTCTCACACTATCTCTGCTCTCACACCTTCACACACACACACAGGCAAACAAATCATACAAACTCAACACATAAAGAAATGGTCACCCTGAGAGCGTCGCAACAAGAGAGCACAGAAAAAAGACAAAAGAAAAACAAACTCTGAGCTCAAACTGTGAAACAGAAAACAGTCACACATTTAAAATAAGAATATAAATAATAAAAAGTTCAAACATGAAGGAGTTTAACCTGGATGCATCTGTTTAGACACACGTGCCGACCCACCTGCCTCATCACTCCCCCCCCCCCCATCTCTGCTGCCCAGCTCACCTCCTTTCTTGCTAATTACAATTGATTTATGATGGCGCAGGTAGCTTATCAGGTGCCCGGTGAAATTACAATGGCTGTCTGAAGGCTGGAAGGAGAGCGAGGGTTTGTCTGTGGTCAATGTCGAATGGTAAAATCAATTAGCATTGATTGGCAAAAGGTTCATTTTCCCCACAGAAGATGCAGTCGAAGGGGATTAAACTTCCCTCTGACAACTTTGATACGACACAATGGAAGCTTTTCTGGCTGCACTGTGGTTAAACAGGCTTTTAATAATAAAACTGATGCTTTTCATCACACAGACCCTCTCAATGCAGCTGTGGCTGCATTTCAAAATCAGGCCTCGGCTAGTTGGGTCTGGCTGGGAAACAGATAGCATTGATCCGAGTATCAGAGGCCGAAATCCCTCGCATCTTAATCCTCATCAAGAAGCACATGCAGAATTCAAATCGTCCAGCTTCAGGCCTTAAATAAAGGCAGATCAACAGCTGGACAGAATGTGAGAGCAGGAACCAGAACCAAACAGGTGAAGACGAGGCACCAGAAAAGGTTACGTCTTCATCTCATRCCGCTCGTCTTTCTCAGATTTCTTCTAAAGTCGKTAAAATCTGGTGCATCTGTTGGGTTCCTAAAGCAGAACAGGAAGTATTTCAGTGAGTCTCACCTTCGATGGCCAGCATAGCTCTCAGCTCTCTGTTCAGCAGCTCGAATCGTCTCTCCAGATCGTGCTCCTTCTCCCTGTGGCAAGTTGGAGGCAAAACACACACACAAAGTTCATCAATATGTTAATGACTAAATCATTAAGTACTTAAAGAAACCTGCAATAAACATCGATTCAGCCACTTGCCTGGACCTTCTCCTGCTTCACATTAATCTACTTGCACATAACTGATACTCATAGTGCGCTCACACAGCGCTGGGTGAACGTGTGTGTGAGAGGCAAAACAAGGAATGAAAGGCAAGGAGGGAAAAATGCATGAAATTAGAATAAAGGACGTGTGTCTGTGTGGTCTTATATATTTATATATAAATGTGGTGTGGTGTGTGTGTGTGTGTGTGTGTGTGTGTGTGTGTGTGTGTGTGTGTGTGTGTGTGGGTGTGTGTGTGTGTGTGTGAGAGGCAAAACAAGGAATGAAAGGCAAGGAGGGAAAAATGCATGAAATTAGAATAAAGGACGTGTGTCTGTGTGGTCATATATATTTATATATAAATGATTTTTAACTAACTCTAAAAGTGAAACAGGTCAGAAGGGAATCACTGCTGCTCCTGACCGACGGATTTCCTMTTGCTTTCAGAACCAGCCGCTCTGTTTTCACAAAGTACACCGGGTTGCCATGTAGGGAATGACAAAATATCGTACTATTAGTTACTTTCTGTCGCTCTACAAAATAATCGTGTTTAGGTCCAAACTATGCGAAAATGCCTAATTTTATGTATAATTGGGCTTTTATTACTTTGATGTTAAACTTATAGGAGTAATAAAATCTAACATTTCATTGTGTGGTCTAAGACAGAAAACTGCAACAATGACAGATAAAACACATGTACACAAAGCAATAGAAGTTAAAATGATATCCAAGTGAATGTGTTCACTGTTTTAATCTGACACCCAATTATCAAGACAAACAGGTAAATAAATGTTAAACAACAGACTTGAGTTGGGGGTTTTAAAATGTGATTTTGAGTCAACAGCACCTCCTNGTGTGTGTGTGTGTGTGTGTGTGTGTGCAGCACAAATTGAATTCTTTCCTCTTTCAGCCATATTAAAAAAATGAGCTAATTCAGTCTAATAGAATTTGTCCTTCACAGGCGCCTTTTCTCCTCGCCCCCATAAAGAGAGAACAGAAAGGGCTAATAATCAGCCCTTCTGTCAATTGGCCACTTTAAAAGCCTCCCCTTTCCCACGATATAATGTGATTATGAATACTTCAATCTCCCCGCCACTTGCACTCTTTGAAATCCTGCAAATAAAGAAAAAGGCAGTGTGTGTGTGTGTGTGTGTGTGTGTGTGTGTGTGTGTGTGTGTGTCCACCTGTCGCAGCTGACCATGTACAAAAAGACTAGAGATAGAGTAGCGATTGCCACATTTCTATTGATTTCATATTCCTTCTACATGTAAATCAATGAGCGGAGGCAGAGGGGGAAGAGGAGGGGTGATGGAGTGAGACGTTCACCCCGGCCTCGTGTAGCTTCAACCAGTTTCATCTCTTGTAGACTGAAGTGATGTTTTAGTGTTTTAATGCATATTTGAGATATTTTCACAGATGAGGGTTATATGTTAGTAGAAATTAAAAAGTGTACGTACAGCAGAGASAGCTGGTTCTGCCGCCTGATCAGGGCGTTCTTCTTGTTGACCAGCATGAACCACTCCTGCATCATGGCCTCCTCCTCCTCCTTGTTGTTTCCTGAGAATTGAAAAACAAACATGTTTCAATGCTGCGAAATCTGCCGATRCGTAAAAAATCGAGGACGCCTCCCAGACAGTTTTTTTTTTATTTTGTCACCGCTGAGTCAGCAAGTCCATGTGAGTTTCCTGTGTGTGAATAAAGCCCCCCTCGCCCATGTTCCTGGTGTAAACAGTCACTCTTCACGCCGCGTCTTCACAACGTCAATACGGCTTCGACTGGGGCGGGATTAACGCAGCGATTACCGTCAAGCGCCTCTACAGAGTGAAGCCTCTCACTGTAGGGCAAAACATATCCCACCAATCACTCAGCAGGCCTTCAAAAATAAATAAATAACAGACCTCTCTACCGCTCGGTGTAATACCTGCACARCACGCAGTGAGCTAGCAGAATCAGATGCATGGCTAATGTAAGCTTCGCCCACGCCTGGGGCTAAAGCTCCGTACGCTAACTTGCTTACAGGCTACGACGGGATGCGAACAGCTGATACAGACGAAGCACGTCGAATGGAGAGCCTCAAGTGTCAGGAAAAAAAAAACCCTTAAACTACACGATCCAAAAGATGTAAGGGGATTATCAGAAAGTGGCACAARGAAACTGAATCCATGATGTTTATTTTAAAGTGATTTGTCTACTTGTAACCCTCATGTGCTGAACAACTGTAAGCATAATTGAGTCTAAATTGAAAACATGATTCAAATATTTTTCAGGGGAAAGTTTTCTCTCTGGTCAGATCACTCAGTTTTGTGACATCAGCTTTAATCTTCACACCTGTGAAGWGGGGGAATTGATGAAAACAGAAAACAAAAGCTGAAGAATGATTTTAGACATCATGTTAACCCTTGCGGTWTCCGGAAAAATACAAAGACTTTATAATTGGCAAAAAACAACACGCACAATTCCCTAAATGAACTTTTCCCCTTTTTATGACATTAATAAAAGATTCCAACTAATTCTGACACTCACGTTTGAACAAACTTAAAATGTGATGCGCTGAAATAAAACCAGTTTATATTTTTGTCAAACACACTCGGGTATCGGGCCACTGTGTTGCTGGTGACAAAAGGTAGGCGCGTGGATTTGTGCACAGACACCGGCGAGTGCGTGGACATTTGTGATACTCTGAGCCGGCAGATGTACGTAATTTCATTTAGGAGGGAGGAGGGAGCGGGGCGGGGGGGAGTGAGAGGAAAGAAAAACGAAAGAATGAAAGGAAGCTTCGGGATTTAAGCTGAATCGGAGGCTCGTGGATTACTGTAGTCAACTTTGAAATGGACGACACTCGGAGGGGGGATAAAGCCTGCGCTGACAGGTCATTGTACTGCCTCGAAGTCAAATAAAACAAGCAAATAATAATGGCAAATATTAAGCTCCTGTGACATTGTGGCGAGGCAGGCTGGAAGACGAGGGGGGATTATAAAGCTATATCCCCCACCGTTAGCCAGACAGCCGCCACATTTCATGAAAGGAGGAAAGGGGAGGGAGAAGGAGGAGAGGAGGAAAAGCCAGGAAGGTCAGAGGAATGGTGGGGAAAAAGGAGATAAAATAGGTTAAAATGAAGGAGAAAGAGTAAATGGACGAGAATGGAGAGATGGAGCTCCTCGGCGTCCATCAGGGTTGAACTCTGACCCACAGATACCACCTGACTCTTAAAGAGACAGAGCTGGGTTTGACAAAGACAAGTTGGACTTGGGCACCAGAACTATTGCACCGACTGAAAGCTCCGACAGCATCAGTAAGAATCTGAAAATTAGGGCTGCAACAAATGACTATTTTGATATTCGACTAATCTGCAATTATTTTTCCAATTAGTCGATTAGTCAATGATTGTTTTTGTCACGACGTCCATCTATGCTTCCTGTGAGTGCACCTCCAGTTCCAGCTCCAGTACACACCATGTCACCTGTTATCCAGTGTCTCTACTTTAACATAAGTTCCCAGCTCATTAAAATAACCCATGAAACATTTGAATTTTAACCTGAAACCTAACAGCTTACTCAGATGTTTTTTAACATTAATGTAAACATAATAAAAATGAAATTATATGAAACTTGTTAAACTGCAAGTAGTCTTTTAAACAAACAGCTAAAGGCCCTGTCRCATTRCAWTGTTTTTAGATAACTYATGCTAAATTATGAAATTTATTTTATGTCTAAATTAATCGTTGCAGCCCTACAGAAAATTAGGCAGTAATAAAAGTCACCCTCGTATATTAGATCATTTTCCATAAAACAGCAGTTATATCCTTGATTATTAGAATGTTACGGTAAATTATCTGTAAGTTCTCCTATGTTAGTTATCTTCTGTCTTCTTCTAAATGGTGTTCTGAACTGTAATTTCATTGTGCTCTGTAAAATAAAAATCTAATCTAATCTAACAAAACTCAACATTTTAGTAGTTTTTAGTTCAAAATCCCACTTACTTTCTAACAAAAAGAAAATCTAACACTGCAGGGATCAGAAAGTGCTTCTTATTTAATCAGCTCATTAACTAAACTGTAATGAGCAGCTGAACTCCACATCATCATATTATGGTTACAAATCAATAAYTGTTTTAGTTTAGCAGTAAACCTCAGGAATTAAAGGAATGCTGCTGGGATCCAACTGAATTGATTTYCTAATTAACATGTTTTTTCTCGCCGAAACTGTAATGAGATCTTCCGTATGTTACGAGCAGCAGCAGCAACAACAGGAGGAGAAAAAAAATCCTGCTGATTGTTGCTTTGCATAAAGACAAATGGTGTAAGTATCCCTGGCAAGCAGCACTGACACCATGTCTGTGAATCCAGCCTTGGCTCTTGGAGGCTGTGGATCCATGCTGGCTCTCAGGGGGCCATCTTGGATCGAAGCATCTGCCAGTTTGGCAGGTTGCGTTCTGGGTCTTGCTGCTCGCCTTATACGSCACTTCTCTAGTGCTCAATGCGGAGCGGGAACAGGCCAAACTCTGCTGAGGCTGAAGTATTAAAATTGGCACGGATACAATGTTTGATCAGTACATCAAAGGCTGAGAGAAACACGCCTGATGGAGATACATGGGGTTTCCTCACCTAAAGGGAACTTTATCGTTTTTGATATCACGTTCAGTGTCTCCTATYAATGCGTTGGGGAGAAACGCAGACGATACAATCAACCGAGACGCATACAGAGCTGAGATACAACTGATAGACATATTCCAACAACCTCTCTATCTGATTGCTTGTCTCCCTCCTCTCTTGTTTCACTCGGTCTCAGAGACACAACCAGGATAAAATGACACAAACTGCATTGTGTCAAGGGAGATCCTGAGGGCACGGTGAAAAAGCCTGGTTAGCACAGATCACCATGCATTTCTGTGAATCCATATGAGAGATAGGAAGAAAACGAAATGAAGGMAAGAAAGGGTGAAAAGACAGAGGGAGCCCCTGTCGCCAAATAAGATTAAGATAGCCATCTTGGCCACTGCTCCATTCAGAGTGGATAGGAATAATGAAACTCACCCCGAGGTGGACAAAGTGYGGCTGCTGCTGCTGCCAGTCTGCACTGCTTTTCTCACATCCAAGAATTGCCTCTATGCAATTTAATTATGCACTATCAAGCTTTAAACATGTACAAACTGTGTTACCTACAGGTGGCTACAGGTAAATCATCCATCAAAAGCTGAACAGCTTGGGTGGGGTTACTGATGCTTTAGCTTTGAAATTCCAGGATTAATTTACTCAATCTAGGATTTTAACCATGCAACATTAGAGAAAAGACAAAAASTGATTGCAGTGATTCAAACATCAAATTATTCGATTTTAATGCAAGTTGCATTTATTTTGCTGCCTTGACAAGAAATTTGTGGTTTAAAATGACTGAACTGATAAGCTAGTAATCTACCACGTCAGTCTTTTGTTGCAAATGACGTTACAGAGCTCAGCACTTCGGGCTTTTAGGAAGTACATTTGTTAATTATGAAGAATTACTTGATGAACTAGAAATGCTGAGTCAGGTTTACGTCTGGAACATCTTCCCCTCTCTGCCTCGAAGGAGGGTGCTTGGATAACAGAGGCAAATGAAAGGAACAGAAAGAGAAACGCATTAAAAGCTGTGATCACAGCACGTTCATCTCATTTCTTATCCCACCATTTTGTCATTTAATCCAATAGCTGCTAATCCAATTTGTCTATCGGACATGTATAAAGGCGGGGAGGAGGAGAACGGCGAGGGGGAGGGAAAGGGAGGAGATAAAGCTGAACTTGTCTCGTGTGTTGGAGTCACTTTCTTAGTTGTAGTTTATTTAAGGCCCGAGCCTCGCTTGTGTCTCTCCCATCGTTCTCTCCATCCGAGCGTCGGATATCAGCGGGAGATCAGGGGAAGATGAAAGCCAAAGGCACATAAAAGGAAGGCAGAAAAGAAGGAATAAAAAGAAACAGGATGAACATTGTTTCCTGTGATTAGGTAAGAGCTCGTTAAAAGGCTGTCACTGCGGCGATGTGAATATGCATGATGGGCCGGCCTAATCAGAGGGGTCTGTGGTGAGGATCGGAGTGGGGTGGGGGGGGGGGGGGTGTAAGCAGCCTGCTGAAGTCTTGATTTAATTAATGTGAGTGAAGGAGTGTCTTGTTAGGAAGGAGGAGGACACAGGGAAGGTTGATGAGCTTTCAGAATCAGCTTTTGTGGCAAAACATGATGGATCAGATTCAACGGTTTAACTCCATCTCCTCCTCATCGTTCTTCAGGTTGTGGTTAAAACCTGAATCAGGCAAAGCAATGCAACTGCAGCAACAACTCTGAACTCTGGCAACACTACACTAGTGATGTAAGAATCAAACCCTCCATTCTTGTCTTTAAATGCACATGTGATTTCCTCTGCTCGCTCCTATTCTCTGTCGCTCTCTACTGAAGTGCTGCTGAGGGCTTTTTCTTCCCCCCTCCTCCATGGAGTCTTGGACGAGGCCTTTTTAGCCGTCCTCAATGGCACAATGGTCCTAGAGTATAGAGCAGATTCCTGCTTTATTGAACCTGTGTATAATGTCTGCTGAATGGAACACATTAACCGATTCATGCTCTCACCTCCATTCCTTTTTTCCTCCCCTCCCCAGACAGGGGAAAAAAAAGAGAAAAGTAAAATTGAGAAAAAAGAACGAGAGAGAGAAAAAAAGAGAGAAAAAGCCTCCTCTCACAGTTCGGTACAATGACTGCCTTTTCCACTGGTGTCATTTGTCAACCACTGCTTGCTTTACAACTCACAAAAGAGACGGAGGTATGAAACGGCGTGCAGGAGAGGTCACGAGTTTAGAGGACGCAGGATCATGTAACTATTTTTTAATCAATTGTTGTTCAAAGAGCCATAATTATGTTTTCAGTTGAAGATTGAAGGTTTACCTTTCTTTCAATACAACTTAAATGTTTATATATATATGTGATCATTTATTATAATAAAACTGAATTAGATGAACATTAGGCTTAAAGGCTGACAGAAATTTGAGTTTCTTTAATAATAAGAAAAAATGGTTATATATTTTTAATTCATTTATTTCATCCATCTAAAATAAAATATAATGTAAAAATAATAAAAAACAAGTATATCAATAACTGAATAAAAAGGGTGCAGAAAGAAAAAAAAATCATATTAGCCTGTTATTTAAAACAAAAATCACTTCAAACAAACAAACTTGAACAATCTCCAAATTTGAAAAAACAAAAACAAAACTAACATCAGGAATCCTGTGATATCTACACTAAACACTACATACAATCATCTAAAGATAAACCATAACAATAACTTAGTGGTCTTCTTAAACATATAAATTGTAGAAGATTTTATGCTGGTATCAAGACAATTCAACAAACTTATTCTCTTAATTACAGTGCAGCACTCCTTCAAAATGAAGATTTTACAAAAATCTCCATTAAGGCAGTAAAGACTCTTTATATATTTAACAAACTTAAATCATATAGTTACCAAAGTTTTAATACAAATGCAGTTCCTGGCATAATTTTACCATATTTTCACTCTAAACTATTAAGAGAAAATATGGAAAATCAGTCCAATTTGAAATTAAACTGCAAAGACAACAAGCTTTAAAAAAACATTTCTCTCCCCAACAGCACTCCCCTCCCTCATAGGGGGAATTCTGAGACTTTGTTTGGAATATAAACATTTTCCAGCAAGTTTTAGTTATCTCAAAAAATATATATAGAAAAATAATCACCAA